TAATTGCGACCTGTAGCGTGATTACAAATTAACATGGACAGACGGACAGACGGACGGACATACATAGCTAGATCGACTCAGCTCGGCGAGCTAGGAAGATCCATATATACTTTCCTATGTGGGAAACCAATATTTCGAGGTGTTACATAAATTCTGGCCCAATCAAACTTATAATACCCCCAATACATAGTGTTGTAGGCATATTGACCACCAATAGTCGACCAAAAAATTTATATATTTCGTTCGACAAGGCCTTGCGAAAATTTTGTGTTGGTAACCCGATTTGTAATTATTGCTGTAGATGGGATGATCAAAATATCTACTTAATTGAAAAAACTTGGCATGGTTGGAGAATCAAATGGGAGCGAGTGGGGGCTATATCTAAATTTGAACTGCGAGAGATATGGACAAAATTTAGAAGAGGTAGATCTAGGCGGTATTAATTAAATCCGTATTAAATTAGTTTTATGACCATGAGAAGGGTTAATACACAAGATTGTTAGTGGGGTTATTAATAATTAATCCTTCGAACTTTGCACTTTCCAATATTTCTCTCAACATTACGAATCAGCATATATTCGGGAATATTTGAAAATAACCTAAGTCTTTAGATAAATACCTATGATACCCTCCCTACGCCTTTATGCGTATTAAGTAGAGCTCACGTAACAAAAAATTGATATTAGGAATTTATGTGAAGTAGATCGTACCAATTATGAACGCTATTTGAATGGGTATCACCACATTCGAGTAGTCACAATTTGGAACTCTGAATCGATTTTCAACAAATATGACGGAGGCTTTTGTACCTCTAATACCAAATAACATTGCTGTATAGTGCAAGATATGACTTCGATAAGTATTATATTGAAAGTACTTTTTTGGAGCAATAGATATACTGGACCGAGTTTCACCAAATGGTAAAATTCGGTTGTATGTCAAAAAATTTATTCATTTTGGGCTGATATTACAAAAAAATCTGAACCGATCTTGATAAAATGTAGCAGAGGTATTTTCGAGCAGTAGCTGATGCTCGGTATCAAATATAATTCTTGTGGAGTGCATCCTACGCATTGTGGAGTGCTTCTTACACATATCTGAACCGATTTTCAACAAATTTGATGTACTCGTTTCCAGGGGCTGATATAAGCCATTTATCCTGATATCGGACGAAGATATAGCTCCAAATCCGAACCCATCCAAATCCGAACCCATCTCGAAATAATTTGGCAGAGGCATTTTCGAACAGTATATGATGCCCAGTATCAAATATCATTGTTGTAGAAAGTATATCACGCATGTGAGAGACTTAAAATCCCAAATCGGATAAACATATATACGGCAGCTATAGCTATATCTGAACCGATTTTCAACAAATAGGATGAATTCAGTCGTAATTGCCAAAATTCAGTCAATTTGGGCGGATATTAGACATTTGGTGCCCAAAAAACTGTTATCGGATGAAGATATATAAATGGGAGCTATATCCTAATCTGATGATGTGAGGGACCCAAAATCGGAAGAAACATGTATATGGGAGCTATAGGAATATCTGAACAAAATTTCTCCAAATTTTCATGTACTTGCTCTCCTAGACTATATTCGGTTGGATGTGCCAAAATTCTGGTAATTTGGACTGATATTATCCATTTGTTGTCCAATTGACACGAAATCGGTTGAAGATATATATCGGAGCTATGTCTAAGTTTCGACCAATTTCAATAGAGTTCGTCCTTGGGCCTGTCATTTCTAAGCCACTTGTCCGACAGCTTTTAAAACTATTCCAGTGACAGCTCATTATATTGTCTACAAGCGTACAAAGCATTTTGGTAAGAATTGCCCAAAAAAGTGGTGAACTGCCGAATTTGGTTTGGTGGTCTCCGATGAGAAAACATTCGTTGTCCAGCAGTTTCTAAACAAACAAAATGATCGTATGTACTTGCCAAATAGGTCAGCTGAAAATGTGCACCTTCGGTTGGCCACCAGAACTCAAACTTCGGCCATGGTGTGATGGTGTGGGCCGCCATAACAGCCGATGGTCACTCTCCGCTTGTATTAGTCGACCGTGGCATCAGAATAAATGCCGAAAATTATCGCGAAAATATTCTGGAGGGTGTATTAAAGCGTTGGACGCGCAAACATTTTGGCCGCAGACCTTGGACGTTCCAACATGACTCAGCATTACCGCACTCAGCACGCGCCACACAAGAATTTTTACAAAATGAGGTTCCTCGCTTCATTTCCAAAACACAATGGCCACCAAAATCTCCGTATAACAATCCGTTGGACTATTGTGTCTCGAGTATTTTGTTAAGCAAGGTTGGCATTAAAAAATACCAAAGTGTCGATCACCTCAGGCAAGTGCTTCGCCGGGAATGGGCCAAAATACCGCAGAGCAACATTCGGGCAGCGTGTGACGGTTTCATTGGCCGCTTGGAGACCATAATTCGTGCCAAAGGTGACAAATTCGAACAAATCTAAACTTATTCTAAAATTTGGTGCTATTTCCGACATTTTTTTGCTTTCATGCAATAAAATGTAAAAATTATGGCGTTTGACTTTGTTGGAGTTTTTTTAATTTTACCCTGTACATAGGTAGGGCTAGGTAGACTCCAAATCCCTCATTCAGTATCATTTTATCAATCAACCATGCTTATATCTGTAGAACCAAAGGTGTCATAGCTTTTTACCTTTTAAATTAAATTAAGAATTTAAATACTCCAAACCATGCCTAATCTTGGATTGAAATTTGGCTGTGGTATCTTATGACCTCTTCGCAAATGATCGTGTCTGCAGTTATGTTACTCTTTGTCTTATAAACTTTTTAATTCGGAAATTCAAATTCCAATCGGTAACTTTAAATTTTCATTTTAAAAATATTTTTGAGTAAGTGAACCTAACCAAACTTTGAAAACCCTCCACCATTTCAAACGCATTCGGAAATTTTCAAAAAAATAAAATTCGTTAAAAATTCTGTTAAAATTTTAAGAATACCGAATATAGGAGGTCGACGTTATATTCGGCCATTACAAAATTCAAACACGAAACTTGAAAAAAATCCGGTGAATAATGTAGCTAAAATCATCAAAATACGGAATATAGGGAGGTACCGTTATATGGGGGGGCTATACGAAGACCTGGACCAGCATAGACAAGTTTCTATCACAAGCTGTAATACCCATTAGGAACTTCAAATACGAAATTAGAAACAATTCCGGTGAATAATGTCGCTAAAATCATGAATATACGGAATGTATAGAGGTACCGATATTTGAGGGCTATACGATATCGTGGACCTATATAGACAATACTCTTCCTGGGGGCAAAGTACTCAGAACCCCTGTGTAAATTTTCAGACAATTCCATTGAAAATTTTGGCTACAATCATCAAAACACCAAATATCGAGGGTGCCGTTATATGGGGGCTATATGATATTGTGGACCGATATAGCCCATCTGCGAACTTGACCTGCCTGCAGACAAAAGGTTGATCTGTGCGAAGTTTTAGTTTCCTATCTTAATTCTTTTGGAATCTAGCGTGATTACAACAGACGGACAAACGAACCGATTGACGCACGTACAGTGCTAAATCGTCTTAGAATTTTACGTTGATCAAGAATGTATATTCTTTGTAGGGTCTAAAATGCTTATTTCAATAAGTTACATACGAAATGACGGCACAAGGAACTCCTTGTGTGGATATTCAGACAATTCCGTTAAAAAATGTGGGTAAAATCATCAAAATACCGAATATCGGTGGCTACCGTTATATGGGGGATATACGATATCGTGGACTTATATAAACAATTATTTTTGAGGAGGTAAAATGCTCACAAGGGACTCCTTTTGTGGAATTTCAGACAATTCCATTAAAAAATGTGGCTAGAATCATCAAAATGCCGAATACCGTGGGGTAACGTTATATGGGGGCTATACGATATTGTGGACATATATAGATAATTCTCTGCCGAGGTATAAAGTACCCACAAGGAACTAGTTATGTGGATTTTCAAACAATTCCATTGAAAAATGTGGCTAACATCATCAAAATACCGAACATCGGGGGTACCATTATATGGGGGCTATATGATATCGAGGACCGATATAGCCCATCTTCGAACTTGACCTACCTGCAAACAAAAGATTTAAGCTTCCTACCTTAATTCGTTTAGACTGTAGCGTGATTACAACAGACGGACGGACGGGTCTAAATTGTCTTAGAATTTTACGCTGATCAAGAATATATATACTTTCTTGGGTCTAAAATGATTATTTTGATGAGTTACAAACGGAATGACGAACTTAATATACCCTGCATACTATGTATGGTGGAGGGTATAAAAAAAAATATTTTTTTTTTTATTTTCAGACATGTCCCATTTTCATTATCACCAGATTGATCCGTAAGCTTGTGCAATGCTCATGCGCAAATGCGTGCTGCAGTAGACTCTTTGGCGATCGCTTGCATGGAGCGAGGGGAAATGGGACTTAACAATGCAACAAAACTTCAAACAAACAGCTCAATCCGCTATTATTGTGCATTCAATGGCCCCCTCAATTTCCACTGGCACTAAGAATAGCACCCAACATAGCCAATGGCAAACACAGCAACAACAACAACAACAACAACAACAACAATTGATATCACAGCAACACAAATGGCTGACTGTTAATAACAGTGCTATGTAAAACCCTCCGAACAGCGTCAGACAACATTGTTTGGCGGTCGCCACTACCACTTAACAGTCGCGAATTTCAAATAAGAAATGGATTTTCGTTGGTTTTCTGCAGCTGGTCGGTCGGTCGGTTGGTGGCTCGGTCATGTACTGAGTGTGTGCAGCAGGCCAGCAAGCAGCTTAGCTAACTGTGCGCGCTGTTTTACAAACGTGTCCGTAAGCAAAGAAGGTATAAAAAGGTTTGTACTCCCGTTAAGCGTTTCAAACGCTCACCAGATAGCAAAGCAACTGAGCACAAGCGCAAACCAAACGAACGAATTTGAAGAAAACTTGTAAAAAAACGGAACGGATAAAAAATATTAGTGGAACTAATAGAAAAATCAAAAAGAGCTCACAACTAAGAGAGCAAGTGAAGTGGGAAAAACTGAAGTGTATTCGAAATCAAAAAGACATCCTGTGAATTTTAAATTTGTGTCGAACTTCCAAAAAAGGAAAAAAAGTTACAATCAATCCTTGAAAGTGTTATTGAGACAATTCGAGTTGAAATCTTCCTCCCATCAAAAAGGAATTAAACGTGCCCAAGTGAAGTGAAGTGGTGCCATACACGGTGCATACCAAATCGAAACTTCCAAATAACCAAAATATGATCATCATGGATGCAAAAAAGGTGACTACATAATTTTTTTAAACTACAATTTTAAAATTGAATTTCCAAACTCCAATTGCATACGAAAATCCATTGCCTTGGTACAAACCGAGTTGCTATAGTTTATTTAACCCAGAATCAACCTGTCGTGCCATCATTCATAGCCACCACATTTATTCTTCATGTCATTCCTGATGGTCGTTCGTCGTTCGTTCGGTCTGTTGTCATCGACTAACATTGGCCATCAAAACAAGCTGAATGGCTAATGGATAAGTAATGATGTTATCAGATGATTTTATTGATTATCCGTTTGGAATATTAATTTCTGTTTGAAATACGTTGAAATAGAGTAAAAAATAACAAATCCACTTGTTCGCAGCCAATTTATTCATAACTGTAACAGCGAGAATTGAAATGCATTTTAAGAAACCAAACGAGATAGAATTCGGTGAATTCAGAATTTATGTATGACATGTGACAGAGACACGACAAAGTGATAAATTTGAATGAACATAGAATTACAGTGTAATCCAGAAAATCGTTACATCTTTTCAATAAGAAATTGAGAGTACTTTTTTAAACGTGTTATGATATGTTTGTCAAATATAAGAAGCTCTGGTCACAATTTGATTAATCCACTTGATTTCAGAACAGATCTTATTTGCATTAAAGAACTCAAATGGAAGGAATTATTTCAGATCATAAAGCTGCATTAACTTATTACAAATTGGTTGTAAACAAGTAAAAAAGCTGTAAGTTCGGCCGGGCCGAACTTTTAATACCCTCCACCATTTGGTACAAATTTGACAATTTCCAAAAAAAAATAAAATAATTAAATAAATAAAATAAAAAAAATTCTTTAAAAATTCTGTTAAAATCTTAAAAATACCGAATGTCTATACGACGACGTATACCTGCAAAGGCAACTTTTGTCATAAGTTATTACAACATTTAAATGCGAAACTTGAAGAAAAATTTGTTTATAATGTAGCTAAAATCATCAAAATACCGAATATAGGGGGTACCGTTATATGGGGGCTATACGAAGACGTGGACCTGCACAGACAATTTTCTGGCATGGGCTGAAGTATCCATTACGAACTTCAAATGCGAAATTTAAAACAATCCCGGTAAATAATGTCGCTAAAATCATCAAAATACCGAATATCGGGGGTTACGGTATATGAGGCCTATACGAAGACGTGGACCTACGTGGTCCATTTTCTTTTTTCTGCTGCAGTATCTATTACGAACTTCAAATACCAAATTTGGAACGGTTCCGTTAAATAATGTTGCTAAAATCATCAAAATACCGAATATCGGGGGGTACGGTATATGGGGGCTATACGAAGACGTGGACCTACATGGCCCATTTTCTGTTTTCTGCTGCAGTATCTATTACGAACTTCAAATACCAAATTTGGAACGGTTCCGTTAAATAATGTCGCTAAAATCATCAAAATACCGAATATCGGGGGGTACCGTTATATGGGGGCTATACGAAGACGTAGACCTACATTGCCCATTTTCTGTTTTCTGCTGCAGTATCTATTACGAACTTCAAATGCCAAATTTGAAACAATTCCGGTGAATAATGTCGCTAAAATCATCAAAATACCGAATATCGAGAGGTACCGTTATATGGGGGTTATATGAAAACTTGGACCTACATGACCCATTTACGAACTTAACCTGCCTACTGGCAAAATATACATGTGTGCAAAATTTTAGCCTTCTATCTCAATTTGTTCGAAAGATAGCGTGATTACAACAGACAGACAGACAGACGGACAGACAGACAGACAGACAGACACACAGACAGACAGACGGACATGGCTAAATCGTCTTAGAATTTTACGCTGATCAAGAATATATATACTTTGTTGGGTCTGACGTGAGTATTTCGAGGAGTTACAAACGGAATGACAAAATTAATATACCCTCCATAGTATGGTGGAGGGTATAAAAATGAGAATGGCCATTGAAAATCTGTAGCAAATAAAAATGAAAAATTGTTAAAAAAAATTTCCTGATCTTGACGGTCGAAATATTAAGCATAATCAAAAGAAATAATAAACCAGTAAAGAAAGTCTTAAATTCGGGCGGGGCCATCTTTATGATACTATACATTCCAGCTAGTTATAATTTAACGTCCAAAGGACTAAATTTTCCGAAGCATTTGTGTCCTTTCAATTCGGGCTTTAATTGCCCATTTGGTGTATCGAAGCTATAACCAAATCTGAACCGATCTAAATAAAATTTGACAAAGGGTATTTCTGAGCTGAATTTGTCATATATCTCCCTGAGTATCGTTGTTACGGAGTACATATTACGGCTGTGAAGAACAAATATAACAAATCAGATGAATAATATAGAGCTACAGCTATCTGAACCTATTTTCACCTCAATTTGGTTGTAAGAGGCAAATCCCATCACATTTTGGCTAATGTAACGTTTACGTTTGGCCCACAACAAAAGACAAATATATATATATATATATATATATATATATATATATATATATATATATATATATATATATATATATATATATATATATATATATATATATATATATATATATATTTGTCTTTTGTTGTGGGCCAAACGTAAACGTTACATTAGCCAAAATGTGATGGGATTTGCCTCTTACAACCAAATTGAGGTGAAAATAGGTTCAGATAGCTGTAGCTCTATATTATTCATCTGATTTGTTATATTTGTTCTTCACAGCCGTATATATATATATATATATATGAATGTTTACAAAATGAGGTTCCCGCTTCATTTCCAGCGCACATATTACACGTTTAGTGCATAATAAAAAGCAAATCGGACGAGGATATATATATGGGTGCTATATCTAAATTTTGACCGATTATCTCCAATTTCAATAGGTTTCGTCCATGAGTCAAACAAATGATTTGTGCAAAATTTCAACTGGGTCGGGTAATAAATGGGACCTGTACTTTGTTTACAAAAATACATGGACAGATGGAGAGACGTAAGGACATGCATAAATCGACTCTATTTCGTTTCCTTTTTCCTGTTACAAATGCACGAAGACATAATACCCTGATCACCTTGTGGTGTAGAGTATTAAAACGTTTTTATTACTCACCTAACTAAATAAATTGGTCGAAGTCCTATAATTTTGGAAATATTCTCGTATACATTATTTTACCTCAGCCTCTAAGTTACAAAGGAACCTATCATTTATTGGGTCCATATATATATTTAGATCGAATCCGTTGCAGGATATTCAAAAAAACGATTGATCATTCTTCCCACCTTCTTTATAGTTAGCTCTCTAATGGGAGCATCTACTGCTGAATTAATATTTCTACGAAACTTGGATTAAGTTGAAAGAAGAATAATAACATCCCCTCAGATGGTCAATATTTTTCAAAAAACTAAGATATATCTTAAACTTAGCTAATAGAGTATTCAATTAGGTTGATGCTTCGTAATATATGTATCAGTCTTAGATAAGGTACGGAATTGATAGTATTACTGTATTTCACATCTTCCAGGAGTCCCGTCCCACAAAAGGTAAAAAACTGTCAACCTTTATTATCAAGTTAAGGCCAAATGTAAAAGTTCCAAAGCGATCAAAATTTTGAATATTTATTCGCAAGTTATGACATATAAAAGTATTGAAATTTTTAACCCTATGTGGTTGAGGTCTCAGAAGGGGTTCGCATTTATATATCATCTTTAAAATAGATCTTTTCTTATCAAAAATGTTTGTATGCGTGAAACCCATGTGGGTGAGGTACCTGTAAAATGGTCCAATCTCTACTAATTTTATGGCAGATTTTGTGTTTATGGAAATATTGAAATGTACCAAGTTTGAATGAAATCGGATGTTAGTTTCGCGTTTTGTGAGCTTCATGGATATTCAAAATTAAGACCCTTTGTGAGAGAGGTACCAGAAGGAGAGGGCCAATATATTCACACCAGAATATGGTATAGTAGAAATAATGGGATGTGTGAAATATTAAGAGAACCGGATGCTTATTTTGAATATTATAATCGATTTGTTTATCAAAAACTTTGACCCTTTGTGGGGGAGGTACCAGAAGGAATGATCCGATCTCTACTTTTTTTTATAAGAGATCTTGTATTGATAGAAAAATTCAGATGTGCCAAGTCTAAATGGAATCGGATGTTAGTTGCACGTTTTATTAGCCTAATGGATATTCAAGATTTCGACCTTTTGTGGGGGAGGTATCAGAAGGGGTGCACCAATATATTCCATTTTCACACCAAACTACGGGTGAATAAAAATATTGTGATTTGTGTGATTTGAAGACAATTGGACTCTTACATCAAATTTTATTAGAGTTAAAATTATTCAAAATGTTGACCCTTTGCGGGGGGTACTTGATGGAGTAGGCCGACATTGTCCATTTTCGCACCTGACCGAGCACTTAGGTTTTGCAAAGTTGGAGGGCTATCCTTTCTCTTTCTGTGCAGTAAATTATTATTTTAAAAAATCCCGACCTTTTGTGGGGAAGTACCAGAAGGATTGGACCGATATTGTCCATCTCTGAACGCGATCTAAGTTTGGTAATAATATTACGATGTACCAAATTGGGATCAAATCGGATACTCCCTAAGAGAGTTATCGTGCGCTCCAGCCAGAAAATCCACATGAAATTGTATGCTGATCAAGAATATGTACATGTTATGGGGTCGAATTGTTACAGACGTAATGACAATCATAGTATACACTTCATACTAGGGTGGGGGCCGAACCGAACTTTTTAATACCCTCCACCATGTTTCTTTCTTTTTTTTTTTTGAAAATGGTCGAAAAAATCCCGTCGAAAAATGAAAACCTTTATATGGGGCCTATATGAAGCAATTGTTTGTGATAGGCTGTAGTAACGATTTAGAACTTCAAAGACGAAACTCGACGCAATTCCGGTGAAAAATGTAGCTCATATCATTAAAATACAATTTAAAGGGAGGTGCCGTTGTATGGGGGCTATACTAAGACGTGGACCTACAAAGAA